TTTATTAAAATTTCAATGTTAATAATTATAATTCTTTTTTTAAATTTTTTCACTTAGGACATTTCAAAATGGATGAGTGTTTGTTTCAATGCATTGTTAAATTATTGCTATGTAATATTAAATTTACATAATTAATAACTATTCCTTCTAAAAGAACACACTGAGTATTTTCAATATGTCTCATAAAAAAAATCAAGCATAGTAAATAATAAAGATTATTTTCTCTCATGACCCCATAGTATCATTGCTATGTGATAAGAAAAACAATGAAGAACCGTTCATTATCTTCACCAACAGCTGATTGCACTCACAGTTTTACACCTGTCTTATGGACTCAAAATAAATGCTAAACCTTTTGCATTTGCACAGTGTAACTCAAATTGAGTTAATTTTAACTCTTGTACTGACATTGGCTTCACAACCTGCAACAATAATTCTGTAGATCTTTTATTGTTTCATTTGTGTTGCTTGTTGGGCATTGCAGTTTGCTTCTCTGTTGCTATAATAAATACCATTAACAAGAGAAACTTGGAGAGGAATGGATTTATTTCATTATGCACTTCCAGGTCATGTTCAATCACTAATGGGACAGGATCCAGGGAGGAACAGTAATCATTGCCTTGCTGACATTCTCATTACCAGCAACTTTTTTTGTTGTTTTTGTACAGCTCAAGTCTACCTACATAGGGATGTTACCACCCACTGTAGGATGGTTATTTCTTCATCAATTAGCCATCAATAAATGTCCCAAATACGTACAAAAAAGTCAATCTGATGGATACAGATGTTCAGTTGAGGATTCTTCTCAAATGTGTCAAACTGAACACCAAGATTAGCCGTCACATCTTGTAGAATATTATTTTAAGGTGTGTTTCTTTTGTTTATGTTGCATTTATTTAACTCTGTGAAGCTGTGTTACTTTGCCTGTCTAAAACACCTGATGCTCTAAAAAAAGAACTGAATGGCCAATAGCGAGGCAGCAGAAAGGATAGGCAGGGTTGGTAGGCAGAGAGAATATATAGTAGGAGAAATCTAGAATAAAAAAAAGGAGAAGTAGCCAGATAAGGGGGAGGATGGCGATAGGGGCCAGCCACCCAGCTGTACAGCCAGCCATGGGGTAAGAGTGGAAATAAGATTTATAGAAATGAGAGAATGAGAAAAGCCCAGAGGCAAAAGGTAGATGGGATAATTTAAGAAAAACTGACTAGCAACAAGTCAAGCAAAGGCCAAGCATTTATAAGTAAGAATACACCAGTTTGTGATTTATTTGGGAGCTGAGTGGTGGGCCTCCAAAGGAGCAAAAACAGAAAACCACACCCAGTATTTTCTGTATGTCTACAAAGCTTCATGTTTTCCCTGCCCAAATGGTAGTAGTTAGGAATTCAACTACTATTTTGAACATTTCTTATCTAAGGGAATATACTCTATAATTCTCTATTATTTTATTTGCTACAGGAGTTGGGTATATAACTATTTTTAAGATAATTAGCAAAAATTAAGCCATATATTTGAAAGAGAGTAAAGACTGCTAAATGGAAGTGTTTGGAGAATGGAGAGGAAAGGGAACATAATTATACTATAACCTCAAAATGTATATATACATATATATATATAATTTTAAAAGTAAATGAATTACATTTCCTAGACTTCTTGTCTAATTTTCTAAGGGTTTTTTAAAAAATGTTTAGGGTCATAAGCTCTATCAGACATTCAACAAATATATCTAGGAATGTGTTAAGATTTTTTTTGTTTCTGCTAATTAAATATTATGCAAATTATATTACTAGAATGAACTGTATTATAGCAGGCATATAGCCAAACCTGGTAGAATAGGCAAACTTGGTAGAATAGGTAAGAAGATTAAAAGTTAAAGGATTGCCTGGACTACAGAGTGAGTTAGGGACTAGTAAGGAAGTTATTGAGACCATGTCTGAAAATTAAAAAGAAAAGAGCTGGGGGTACAGCTCAGTGTTGAAGCACTGGCATAATAGGATTGAGGTCCTGGACTTAATCATCACAGCAATCAGTGAATCAATCAACTGATAATGCTATCTATTATATAAATGGTTGCACTCACAGAATGGATGGCTTACACTGAAATGAAGTTACAATAATTTAGGTGCATTTTCTTAAAATAGTGTTTTACATAAGAATTTCTCATTCTTTTCTGTGCAAGACTTTCTATCCAGATTGCCACTGATGCAGTGTATATACGCATGAGTGTGTATACATACATACATACATACATATATGTGTATAAAATGAACAGCTTATTCAACCTGTTTAATCTGTGTAATTAATGTTACTTTTATGTGTGTTTTCAGATTTGAAAATTTGATATTAAAAAACAAAAATCTCTCCTTTTTTAACTTTGTTCATCAAATGCATACACCATGACTACCAATTTAATATCTGACTCCCACTCCTGTAAATTTATTAACACTGTAGTAGTCAAAGCCATCATTGTTTTTTGGGGTAGAACAATCCTATTTGAGTGTGCTACTATCATTCCGGTGTCTTACAATCTTATTTTCATACAGGAAGCACAGTGATATTTTTAAAACTACAAGCCAAGGCTGGGTCTATAGTTTGGTGCCAGAGTGCTTGTGTTACTGCCATGATGCTCTGGTTTAATTCCTGGTGCTATCAAAAAGCCCTACAAATCTTAGGGTCAGGACATGTCATTGCCCTTTAAATCTTTCCCATAAAGTGAACCAAAGTAGCTCATCCTGGTGAGCAATGACATCTCTGCTCAGCTCTTCACATCTTGTGACCTTTCTCCTCATCCGTGATAATGTATTTACCTCATCTTCATTTACTACATATGTCATTGGTTTCATATGGGACAGCAATTATAGCATCACTATCTCCTGATTTCTACACTTTGCTTTTACAAAATATGGCAACTCAAAAATTTTCCAGAGAAATCTACTTCAAATATTCAGATTCTTATGTATTCTTCTTATGTGTTCCTATTTTTCTTATTTTATGTATTTTCCTTCTTCCATGCCACCAGGTTTTCAAGAATATACTTATTTTATTATAATCATCTAGAACATTGGAATATCATTTTAACATATTCTGTTCTCTAAGTAAGGACCTAGAAATTTTGTCACATGGAGATTTTGCATGTCGAAAAGTCCATTGAGAAAAGCTGCTGACTCAGCATTAATTTTCAGGTCCCCTGAACCTGGCCCTATTCGATGATATGCAATATTTTTGTCTAAGACTCATTTCAGCACAGCCTCGGGCAATACATAGTGCCTGAATTGGCAGGCTGTGCTATTCTTTATCTTTGTTTTTGGAACACTCCTAGCCTTTCCAACAGTAAAGACAAGTCTAATATTTCATCATGTATTGGCTTCTATACTAATTTATCCAATATATGTCATTTCTTTGAGTAACAAAAGAAATACGTTAAGCATATATGATTTTCCTGTCACAGACACTGTTTCCAGAACAGGTTTTGTAGAAAAGACATCTTTTGTTAGGAAGAAATTTTAAAAGTTTATTTGAACAATCATGATTGATAATACTAACAATGAACTTAGATCATCTAGCTACATATCCGACAGTCAAACTTGACAAACAACTCATAGCTCTCAAACTTTAGATGTCAAATTACAGAAAATCTTTTTTTAAAAGTATCAGAGAGACTCACATTCAAGGGAAAGCGTGTAATGGAAACAGAGAGTTGTCCCAGTCAATGATTCATAATTGCTGAGTTCAACCTTAGACAGTAATTGTTAAAATATTGCTCATATGCATGTAGCCCTGGAGATCTTTGAATAAACAGAGGTTTGAAAGAACTAACAAGTGCCTTTAGCAACCTCTCTTTTCCTTTTGAAGTTCTGGCCTCTTGGTTCACTGAAGTCACTGTTGTCCATAGTCCTTTTCTTCAGGCAACATTCTCTGGTATTCCTCTTAGCAAGCCTCTTCTATCATCTGTGAATAACAATAGAGAAATCCATTATCTATTTGTATAGCCAAGTAGAGGTTAGAACTGTATTCAAGGTGTGAGTCAGCTTGTGTCAGGTCACTCAGGTTGAAAGGAGAGTCCCACAGGCACTCATGCCACCAGGAAGTACCCTTTTCTCGAGCTGCCATCATTAAAAGAAGAGCATCCAAGCTAAGCACACTCAATGTCACTATCCCAGAAATGACACAAAAGACTAGAGTTCAGCTTCTGTCTCCTGTACTTATCTGTAAATTAGTGTTGACAAACTCCTTCATTAATTCCTAAAAATCTTTTTTTTTTATGTTGCTCACCGCACATTGTATAATTTAGCCACCCTCAGGGTATTCTCTGTACATTTGGATTCTTCCTTGAGCTTTTTCAAATGTATCATTGATACTTATATGTGCTTTTTATAATTTATCCTCTGAGATTACAGAAAATATATGGCTTCTTTCTACTCATTGCTGAAATTTCATCTTTGAAAGCAAAGCTCTCATGAAGTCTTCTTGCTTTGAATTTTGTGTTCCTTCCTTGAATAGAGCAATAGGTAACTTACTTTTTGTTTCTTACCATTTGAAGGCTCTTAAAACACTTAGAGCAAGGACTATTTAAGGGAAGCTAGCAACTCTGTTGTGAGAGCCTTGTGCCAGCCCAGATTTAAATGCTGTTTAACCACAGACAAAGAATGTCCCAGTGATTAGCTTAGATGTGCTCTATTAGCTTCAATTTATACATAGGGAAGGACATTCAAAGATACCATCACATTTAGCTTTCTGTAACTCCTATGCAGCCTAATTCCAGATCTGATATATGTTCAGTAAATGTAGTAGACAAATTTCTTGTAGAAGCAGTAGGATTTTTAATTGCACACGTTCAATATTTTTGGAAGTCATCCAAAATAATAGTACTGGGATACTGTAAATGTTAAGGATATACTCTGATCAATAATTGTGTGTCAACTACACAGAAAATGCTCAAAATAAATATCTCCTTTAATAATGGACAATGAAAACATCATAATTATCATAAACAAGAACAGAAATGATAGTAAACAGTTTATTCACTTTTTGGCCATCTGAGCAACAATGCAAAGGACTTTGTTTAGCAAAGAAAACTGTGTTGGAATCAAAGAAACGTAAACATAGAGAAAATTATTTCCTACAAAATATATTCTACAATTATTATCTTCACAAAAATACAATGATACAAAAGCATCCAAATCCAGCTTCTCAGTGAGATGCATTTAATCCTAATCCCAGGCTTTATGAGTTATTGTTATGTTCATAAACAAAATTCAAAATTCACATTTAAAACCTTTTACCCCAAGACAGATTTCTTTCAACTTCAAGGTTAGAGTCAGAAAAACAAAGAACCATCATTTCAAGTTTTTTTTAATAGTCTGTGAGACTGTGAAATGGAAACACTATTATTGAAATGAGAACACATTAGTTTAAATTCTCCAAAGTAATTTATCTCAAGTGTGTGTATGTGTGTGTGTGTGTGTGTGTGTGTGTGTGTGTGTGTGTGTGTGTGTATTTGTGTACATGCATATCTATGGGTATAGATGTATCTAAATGGACATTCACACGAATGTGTGCACATTCTTTTTTGTGTTGATGTTCATGTTTAAATTGTGCATTCATGCAGCTTTTATAGTGATGCCCACTGTTACCTTATCTCTTTGACTGACAGTGATGGGATTTCAGGCACGCTCAACCTTTCCAACAGTGCCAGTGATGGGATTTTTTGAAATCTTATTACTGGTTGCAGTGCCTTGATCTCAGATGGAACTTTCAATCAAAAAGGCAATCAGAAGGTTATACATTCGTGAGGTTCCCTGCAAAGCCAACGACCGCATAATACAACATGTTGCAAAGGACTACTTGCCTCCAGTCCTTATGTGGCTATAAAAAGTAATTGGCTACTTAGCTCTCAGCACCCGCTTTCCTTCTCTAAAATACAGATAGCCCAGCTCTCTGTGGATTCTCAGTGTGGAGTCGGCTGCTCCTAGGAGATTTCTAAGTCTCATGCAGAGACTTGTCTTACTTTAAGCATATGATTAAGCAAACTCTCAAAAGACACATTTGTCTCTTTCCTTGGATTCTTGCTTCACTGGGGATACTAATGAATCCAAGTTTCCTTTCATGTTGTATACACACATACACTTATCCCCCCTTTTTTGGGGTACAAAACATTTTTACTGTAAAGTTTGTATCATGGACAGCACAATTTGGTGTGGGACAGGTAACACATGAATATATTTTATAGAATACTTCAGCTGTATTATCATAAACCATTTTAAATTGTATATTGACTGCACTCATAGTAAGAATATTATAAGGAATGCTTTGTTAATATTTGGTAATATGTTTGTGTAGAGATGAAAAAAAAGTGTTTGATCAAATCACATGGAAACTAGAGGCAAGGGTTGATTCCATGTGGTCTCCAGTCATGCGAGGATACCTCAGTTCCTCAGAGGAGATCCTTGCAGTGAAGTAAGCAAAGGGAGACTAGCTCCTTTTCACATATTATTTGGCACAGAATTCTTGGGCAATGATTAAAAGGGACTGGTGCTTGGGACACACAAAGACTATAGACACAATAGAATGAGTGTCAAATGAAGCACTATTATAGTTGATAAATAACCATACATGTGTGGAGATTCATTTGATGTGTCAGCATTGTTTACACAAAAGAATTTCATTAATATAAAATGATAATAAAGTTAAAATGCATCACTTGAAAAGTTGAGGAAGGAATCCTTAAATTTTAATAAAACACTTTGGATCTCTGTTTCCCTGTTTTGAATGTGGGAATTCTAGTAAGTTTGTTGCTAAAGAAATGTTACAGCTTACTTGTATGTGTGTGGGTTTTGGGGTATAATTTAAATTCAGAGTACTCTAAAAGTGTATTTCACATACCAAAACCATATTATCCACACATAACCATACACAGCACCACTTTATCCAGATTATCAAAACTTTATATTGGCTTCAATGCACAAAATGCTTAGATGGTAGTGGAAAGAAGTGTTAATATGGAGTTCAAGTTTACATGATGTCTTCCTGGGCAAAGTAAAATTTAAAGGAAGATTGGGAAAACTGATTCAGCCTACATTGCCTCCTGTCATATGCACTATCATATGAATATTTCTACTGATCAACAATGCTGAGGATGGTGATTTTTATATTCCTGTAAAAGAATACTGTGATATGTCAGCTAAATATGTCTCTGTACAGTAGTTTCCTACAAAGTAAAGAGAGATGAGTGAAGTGAAAGGGGAAAATAAAAAGTAATTCCACTTTAGTTTATAATATGAAAGAGAGTTAGGATTTGGGATTTTAGTGTTACTATAACTGATATCAACGTATTTTATGACTCTTGCTAATCTGCGATATAGAAAAGTCACTGTAGACTCTGACTTCATGAAAAGTGTTCAGTAGCCACTCAGATAAGTATGAAAGGATTATGTTCAGGCAATAGGGAACAAGAAGGAGGTGGTAAGCTACTGGATACTTATTAAATTTTAATTGAATACTTAGTCACTTTGTTTCTGTCATGATGGAGACAGCTTCCAGAAACTGTCCCCCATCTCCAAGCCAAACCCATGCCTTTCTTAGGTAGCCCAAGCTAGGGACTGAGGTAGCAGGTGACAATAGTCTACCTATCTTGTTATATTGGATCCTCTAAGGATCTAGGAAACAATGATTTTCATATCTGCAATGTAGTCTAGGTTCTTTCTCCAAATCCTGTTCTTTATCCCTTCATTTCTTCACATGTTGGACTGTAATCTCCACAGTGTAGGCTTTTCCTATGCACAATTGCTTCTTGTTCCTTTCCTGCTAACTCCATCCCACCTTCTGCCTCCAGGGGCCCCAAAGTCATACTAGACTGCCTTTTAGTGATGGCATTTATTTTTATGTCTCTGATGTTTTCTTGCTATGGGATCAATAGCAATCCATTCCTCTTCTCTGGTTCTTTATTATAATAAAGACTCTTAAAACTAAAAGTGCCCCACAGTATGATTTGATTGCACAGTTTGGAATTTCAGTTAAAGTCAATTGTTCTGCCAAGAAATCTTCATGTAGCTGGACAAAATGATGACAACAAAGGTATTTATAAAAATATATTTCACAAAGTAGGAAACAATACAGGAGTTTCTCTGAATACAACACATGGAGTAAATAAACAATATTGCATTAAAGCAAAGTAGAAAAGTAAAATGATCTGCATGTAATACTTGAGGTTTATCATACATTTTCTACTTCTACATGGCAGGTTTGCATTACAAATTAAATATGCTCACATCTCCTAGTGTTGCTCTGTTTTTGTAATCTAACACGTTCTGCGCATCACCATGACCAGGGACAGAAGTGTAAAAAACATAAGCAGTAAAATTATGTACAAATCAGTTCCTGCTTTAAATTAGTTGGGGGAGGACAACTTGAAGCATTTTTATTGGGTGGGGCATTATGTAAATATCTAAAAGTCTAGAGTTTAAATATTCACAGGAATCAATATACTTTCAGATGTTTGTGCTTGTAGTAAAAACACCAAATACTAGGATTATGAAGAAAATAGAAAACAGTCCAAAAGTTTCTCTGGGAAATGCTGTTCCGGTCATTACCAGTCACAAAACACTTTCTACTCTAAAGAGACTATTACCTCTCCCCTTGATAATATTGCCTGCCATACTTAGCTCATCAAAATGTACATGTATTAAACATTCATTGTATAGATATTAATATAAAACAATCTAAAGGATTATTAATGGATATAATTTAATTTTCCCCCAATATAATTCCTTAATCTATAGATTACCAACCTTAATAAATAAAAGCATTATTGGACATCAATAAAATATTTATTTTGAGGATTAAACAAATAAATTCACACGCTAGCAATAAAACCATCTGTCTCTGATGTGGTCCACTCTGGAATACAGTTTATCTCTGTGTCCTTGTGGAAGAAGATGAAGTGGAGGGAACCAGGAATCCTGCTTCTAGACACAGCCTGTTTGAATGGCATTTCTCTCCTCCCACCTTTGAGTTGGCATTCCCCACCCTGGAATGGATTACGAACATGTGAATATTTTAAGGCTCGACACAATATTTAAAGATGCTATTCAGTCTCTGGTGAGTGGGGCCAACATTTATGTACAACATGTGGTCACCGTACCATATAATCTAGGAGGCCTCCCCAATCTCCATAAAGTCATAACGTACAGCAGACCAAAGTATTGCTTTATCATTTGTGACGGGATCCTTATTGGTGAAGGGGAAAAAACCATTTGCACTCATAAAAATCCTTGCAGAAGACACATATCAGCAGCAGAATCCTTGCAGGTCCATTTTTTTTCTAATAAAGCACCTTTTAATTTTTTTCCTCTTAAACAATTCTCTAATGATTAGCTAGGATCCCAATCTCTGACTGAGGCAGTCAGGTAAATATCAAATATCCAAAGACTTCTAGACACTCCACATACTTAATTCACACTCCACAAGATTTATAACCTCCTAACATATACTTTTTATTTTTATTATTTTTTTTGGTTCAACATTAAAATGTGGTTGAGTTTATAGATGATTGGTGCTAAACTTGCCTCTAAAACAAATAGCCACATTTGTTGTATCTAAGGGGAGTGACCCTAGAATATTACAGAATGCTCAGTTCCATAGATTGTTTATATAATCCACTGTCAAGTTTCTTTGTCACTTTCACCAACAGAGTAGAGTTCGCCCAGTCTCTTAAAGCGGGGACCCCAGTCACTGAGGTAGTCAAAATTCTGGTCTGAGTCTGATGTGGTGGACTCCAAGGAGCTGAGGGAGCCAGCCACAGACCCTCGGCCTTCATAGCCATAAATCTGAATGGAGTCATATGGTGGGGCCGTGGGGTCATTATCTGCCTCATGCAGCCTTACATTTATAAATTCATCGACATCAACACCATTTGGAACTGGAGCAAGCCCTTGCCTTGGCATAAACTGCAAATCTGGTTTAATATCCTTACGGGGTAAAAATCCATTAATTCCATCTGGGTTTTGCAAAGTTGCAATGTCAAAAGCCTCTGTGTCCTCCTCCCCGCCTCCTTCATCATCGTAGCGAATGATGTTTTCCCGAACATCTTCATCGTCTTTGATAATTAATGGCTCATTTTTATGCCGCCTTAGGGTAACGAACAGAACCACAATGACTGTAAGAAAAACAGCAAATCATAATCAGTCAACAAGCATATCCTGCCACAATCAGAGCAGAATAGATGATAGGGGAGAGGAGCATTTTTTAAAAGCACATACTTACTTCTTTTCAACCCTGCACCTTGAGTCTAGTGCTTTAGTGTTCTGCCATGCTGATATCAAGACTGTCAAAATCTTTAAAATAAAATTAGACTAAACTCTCCTCTGAATGATAAACACTAAACTTTTGTACATATTACTTCAAATCATTTTTGTTTAATAAACATTTAGTTGTGGTATAAAATGCATATAATCTGGAATCAGCTCTTAATGTGAGCCTTACAAAATAGAAAATAGCATCCACAGCATGATTAACACATTAAGTATATTGTGTGAACTATTCAATATCCTTGGTTTCTGTCTATGTTTCTTAGACGTAGTATGTATGGTATTTGAAAAATTCTTTTTATGATGGTGCTGATGCTGGTAGCAGTGATGAAACCCAAGACATTCTACATGTTTTTAATCATTCAATCACTGAACTATGGCCACAGCATATAGTGATATTTTATTTGTACTGAAATGTGATTTGTATGTTAATAAATAAAGTTGCCCGGGGGTCAGAGCTATTAGCAAGCCATACCAAAAGCTGGGTGGTGGTGGTGCATGCCTTTAATCCCAGCACTTGGTAGACAGAGCTAGATAGATTTCTGTGTATTCAAGGATACATCCAGCATTGGGGACACACGCCTTTAATCTCCATACTAACCATGAAAGACCTAGAGGTCTGTACAGACAAGCAGTGACAAGGCCGTCATGTGGTTGGGTTTACAACCAATGAGAAGACAAAACAGAAAGTCTTTATAAAGACAGACACACAGGAAGTAGGTCTCTTTTGGAGAGGTAGGACCACCATGATAGTAAAGTGTAAGGTTTTTAGCTCTTAGCTATTGCTCTGACCTCTTGGCTTTTATCTCTGTATTGGCTCTGTTTCTTATTTAATAAGACGGTTGGTTACTTCTACATTTGGCGCCCAACGTGATGGTTTGTATGTCAAATGTATTGCTCTGATTGGTCAATAAATAAAACACTGATTGGCCAGCAGCCAGGCAAAAAGTATAGGCGGGACTAACAGAAAAGAGAATGAGAGAACAGGAAGGTGGAGGGAGACGCTGCCAGCCGCCGCCATGACAAGCAGCATGTGAAGATGCCGGTAATCCACGAGCCACGTGGCAAGGTATAGATTTATAAAAATGAATTAATTTAAGATATAAAAACAGTTAGCAAAAAGCCTGCCATAGCCATACAGTTTGTAAGCAATATAAGTCTCTGTCTTTACTTGGTTGGGTCTGAGCGGCTGTGGGACTGGCAGGTGATAGAGATTTGTCCTGACTGTGGGCTAGGCAGAAAAACTCTAGCTACAACAGCACATATTATAATAATTAAGTTATTCTCAAATTAAATGATAGATTATTTTCACACAATATAAATTGTTACACAGATAATGTTATATTCAAGGGCAGTTGGCAATCATCTATCTAGAAAGGTTGTCCCAATTTAGGGTAAGAGAAAGTACTATTACTGAAGTAGTTACCAGGTAAATGAATCATGAACTGACACAATCCTTAAGATAATTATTTTTCAAGATAAAGATAAGTCATAATTACTCCTTTTGATATTTTCGTAGAAAGAAAACTACAAATTATAGGCTTTTAGGCTACAGAGTTTTAACATGTAGCCAAGGATGTCCTGGAACCCCAGGATCTCCTCTTTCTCCCAAGTGCTGGATTACAGGGATAATTTCACCATATTCAGACTTATTCTTATTTTTATAATAAGAATTTTTTTTTTTTTTTTTGGTTTTTCGAGACAGGGTTTCTCTGTGTAGCTTTGCGCCTTTCCTGGGACTCACGTGGTAGCCCAGGCTGGCCTCGAACTCACAGAGATCCGCCTGGCTCTGCCTCCCGAGTGCTGGGATTAAAGGCGTGCGCCACCACCGCCCGGCTATAATAAGAATTTTTAATGGAAAGGTACTAGAACCGCCCGGCTATAATAAGAATTTTTAATGGAAAGGTAATAGAACTTTTCTCTCAATTTGCATTCATTGTTGTAATTTTACCTTATACCAACAAAATTATCGATAAAATAAAATGTTGCTTTAAAGAGCACATATTTTTATCTGCTTACTTATTTTCTTTGTATCTCACTGAACTCTGAGATTTGATGATGCAATTATCCAATCCATGAGTCATTTATATTCAGTGGAATGTGGATACAGAACTACTTCTTGTACTAAACTCATTTACAACCTGCGATTTGTGTAACTGGTGTTGGGATGAGTGTACAGAGACCCATTCCCAACTCCATTGTCATACTGGTGATGAGTTTCAAATAACCATGAAAAAACCTGTCAAACGAGACAAAGTTTTCACTTCCCTTTCTCACTTTATCTTTTCATAGTAACTTCTGACTTTGAGAGCTCTTCTTCCCCTAAAGAATGCTGACTACTTTTCAGCTTAGAGGTTGATATCTTTGTTTATAGTCAGACTATGAAGGCTGATACCCACCTAGCAGCAAAATGATGCACGCTAATATGGCAATTAAGGCGCCCATACTAAGTCCAATGGGAAGGACATAAGCTTCAACATTGCATGACTGGACCACACCATCATTGCTACAGCCACAGACCCGGATAGTCAAGGTGCTGGTGCTGCTCAGAGGTGGGTTCCCACTGTCACTGATCACTATAGGTAATAGGTAGAGTTCTTGCTTCTGGCGGTTGAATCCATTATGCTTTGCCAAAATGCTCAGGGAGTTATCTAGAAAAAAGTAAAAATGACAATTACTTGCATCATTTCAAAACATATGCCCAAATAGAACTAGTTTTTCTAGGTCACAGGTCCTGGGAACCTTAAGCTACTTTCAGCTACCAAGGCTAATTACAGCTTCTAATCTTACCTTATCTCTTCCAACTTTATCAACTGACATGAACCAAAATATCCACAGCAAAACATAGTGTATGAATGTATGAATGGAAGCCATTGAGGAAATATAAGAGTTTACATTTCCATGTAAATGCAAAATAGTCTATATAAAAACAATCTTCAAGGAGTTTTTCAGAAGATACGTGTTATACCGTCTCCCATAGATATGTATGTATGTTTATAATATAATCATAGAAGTGAGTTAGATAGAATGTTACCATATTGAAAAGGTCTACTTGAGAAGTTCTGTACTTAAAGACAGACTGGATGGAAATATGGACATGCAAAGCTAAGTTTACTGAGTACCATGCTACCTAAACAGCAGTCAGGATGCCCTGAAGCACTTATATTGAGGTAATATAATCCAAATTTCTGTCGATTGGAAGAGATAGGCCATAAACATTAAATTTCTATAGAGTCCTTTATGTATAGTTGTTATATAGGCAAGTAAATGGGATGCAAAAGCATGAATTCCATTTTTCATTAGTTATGCAAGAATTAGCATTGGCTTTGTGAAGCTATAATTGTGAGCATTTAAGTAATATGTAACACTGTGATTTGAGTTTGAAGTAAAATAAGTCATGAGAAGTGACTAGTCACATACTGACCCTATACTCATTATTATTTCACCCTAGAAACGAACACTTTAGTCGTTCATCATCCTCAGGAGAATGATAGTCACATTATGTATATTTTAGTCTGTCTTTTTAATCAATAAAAGACACATCAATATTCAAAATGGGAACCATGATTGTCTCACAATATTATTTTGGTCAAAAAATATTTAGTTACTGTACTGATATTATTTGGGCAAAATCACTATTTCAATCAGGAAATCTTCCAATGTTGACAAACTCACAGACATCAGAATGCTGGGTTAGTTCATTATTGTCACTAAATGATATCATCTATGATTCCAAAGCTGTCCAATTTCTGGTCATCAGTGTCCTACTGATTTCTAAAACAGTCAAATAAACGGACAACTATGCCATTCAAATGGCTTTATTATGTTGAACCTCACCATATAATAACTTCTATTAGAATTTTGTAGAAAAATGGAAATCATTCTCCAAAATAGATGCATAATTATATGTAATTTTATTTTATTTAAGATATAAGCAGGCCTATAATGCTTTACTAGTAAGTAGTCAAACAGAAAAGGCACTCTGAGTTAATAATTTTTTTCTAAATTTCTTTTGGTTGTGCCTCATTATATAGCAATTTGCACAGCAAAAAAGTTTTTCTAATAGAGTTAAGCAGCAATACACCAAATGATCCAGTAATCTTTTTTCCATGACCTAGAAGGAAATACCAGTCAGCTAAAAGCAGGGCAGCATTATCTCAACACAGATGAAGAATCCATGGTTGTTTTGTCTTTTCAGAAAGTGCATGACAAGTCTGAGTACCATTAATTAGCACAGAGAATATTTGCTGGATGGCTTTATGTCCTGTAGTTCAGAACATAAGATATGAATTGTTTTTCATCATATAAAATTAATAAAATTATAATGAGGCTTTTTCCCTTGGTGATTGTCTTTTTGTGGCTGACATTATTTACATGAGAAAGCATTGCTACATATTATTTCCTTAAAGTAGTCTACAGTGATAATTGAAATTGCACAGGAATGCTGCTTGTTGCAGACCAAAAGCATGGCTTGTTGCTCTGTAAAGCATTGGAGAATCTAATATTCACCCCTGCTTGCGTTTCTGTACTAATCCTAGAATCTGCATTTGTGTTGTCCTTTCTACATGAATGAAATTATTGTATAATGGAAGTACATGAGTCATTCTCCTGGAGTCTTACCCGCCAGTCTCAGACAACATCAAATCATTCTATTTTTTTAAAATTATTTTTGTTTTCATGCACTACTGATTTACTTAAAAGGTTAATAAAATGTTTATTTTTAGTTAACTAAATTAAATCATCACTGTGGAACATATTTAAACTATAAAAGAACAATTTCATGCACTTAGAGATAATTGTACCTGTATATGCAGAGTAAATATTTAAAAGTACACATATCAAAATGTTCTTCTAGATTTTTTTCTTATAAACTTACATTGGGTTTTTATTTCATAAAATTTTAACTTTAATCTTATCATTCCCCTTTATGGTTGTTGTTTTAAATACATGTGCACATTTAATTAATTAAGGTTGCTTTAGGTAGTGTTCCCCTTCTGGTTTATAATGTCATATGGAATTTACTTTTTCCCATACAGAAATTGATTTCCTCAAGATTAATTATAGTGTAAGTTCTTCTCAGCCCATTGATACTGAATAGTCTCTCAAAAATCAAGTACACTGGGTTCACAACACTTCAGGGATACCTATTTT